AGGTATTTTGACTTTATCATCATCCGTATTAAGACTTTGTTCATTGTACTTTTTACATATTATCAATGGAAACACCATGGTCGCAGAGCATTTAATATTGGCAGCGATACCCTTCCATACTATTTGATGAAAGTTATCATCCGATATGTATAAAATTTAAATGCATCATTTAAATTCGTGAAACAGAGGTCTATTGAATTTCAGCAATTAAAATGATTAAATACACCAGATGAGCCGTGTGCATTAGAGCTACAATAATATTTATCGTGAGTGCCATATTGCACTCTGTGGTTATGGTAGAATCCAGTTGCATGACTTGGGGCTTATTGTCCCCCGCCTTTCAAAAGAAAGCAGGGGACTATTAAAATGGGTTCGTCCGTCCATCACACTTTTTGGGACACAATAACTCTCTTTCTAATTGAGCTAGAATGTTTAAACTTGGTGCAGGTGTTTATTAGGTCAATACCTTGATGGAGGTCGAAGGTGAGCATTGTCTGCTTATGGTAAGCAGAGATAAGCAATTTGATTGGTTGATGCTTTGGGACACGTAAACTTTAGTTCTAATTAAGTGAGAGTGATGAAACTTGGTGTATAGTTTCATTACATCAATACCATGACTAAGTTCGATAATGAGCCTTTTCTGCTCAGGGTTAGTAGAGCGATAAGCAATTTGATTGGCCGAGATTTGGAATACAATATCTCTCCTTCTAATTGAGCTAGAATGTTCAAACTTGGTGTAGGTGTTAACTAGTTGAATGCCTTGATGGAGTTCGAAGATGAGCATTTTCTGCTTTGGGTAAGCAAAGATAAACAATTTGATTGGTTGATGCTTTGGGACACGATAACTTTAGTTCTAATTAAGTGAAAGTGAGGACACTAGGTGTATAGTTTTATCACATATCAATACCTTGATTAAGTTTCATAATAAGCATTTTCTGCTTGGGGTAAGCAGAGCGATAAGCAATTTGATTGGTCGAGACTTTGAAACATGATAACTCTCCTTCTTATTGAGGTAAAATGTTTAAACTTGATGTAGGCGTTCAATAGGTGAATGCCTTGATTGAGTTCGATGATGAACATTGCCTGCTTACGGTAAGCAGAGATGAGCAATCTGATTGGTTGATGCTTTTGGGCACGATAACTTTGGTTTTAATTAAGTGAGAGTGATGAAACTCTGAGTATAGATTCATTATATCATAAGTTTGATGATGAGAACTTTCTGCTTAGGCTAAGGATCGATAAGCAATTTGATTGGTTAAGACTTTGGAACATAACAACTCTGCTTTTAATTGAGGTAGAATGTTTAAACTTGATGTAGATGTTTATTAGGTGAATGCCTTGATGGGGTTCGAAGATGAGCATTTTCTGCTTAGGGTAAGCAAAGATAAACAATTTGATTGGTTGATGCTTTGGGACACAATAACTTTAGTTCTAGTTAAGTGAGAGTGAGGACACTTGGTGTATAGTTTTATCACATATCAATACCTTGATTAAGTTCCATAATAAGCATTTTATGCTTAGGGTAAGCAGAGCGACAAGCAATTTGATTGGTTGAGACTTTGAAACATGATAACTCTCCTTCTAATTGAGGTAGAATGTTCAAACTTGGTGTAAGCATTCATTACATGTAGGTGAATGCCTTGATGGAGTTCGATGATAAACATTGTCTGCTTACGGTAAGCAGAGATAAGCAATCTGATTGGTTGATGCTTTGGGGCAAGATAACTTTGGTTTTAATTAAGTGAGAGTGATGAAGTTGAGGATCTATCATAAGTTTGATAATGAGAATTTTCTGCTTAGGCTAAGGATCGATAAGCAATTTGATTGGTTAAGACTTTGGAACATAATAACTCTGCTTTTAATTGAGGTAGAATGTTTAAACTTGATGTAGATGTTCATTAGGTGAATGTCTTGACTGAGTTCAGTGATTAACATTTCGAGTTAAAGCTAAGCAGAGCTATGCAGTTTCATTGGTCAGTGCTTTGGGACAAGATAACTTTGATTCTATCTGATAGAGAGTGATGAAACTTAGTGTATAGGTGATAATCTGTTTGATTGCTTGATACTTTTGAAAAAAATAAATGTGCGATTAATGAATATGTGTCATCTATTTATTTGGGATTTCGGCGTTGGACATCAGCTTCACTGTTGGCTTGTTTATTTAGATATTTACGTGTAGATACTTCATAATGCTATAAACTAGTGTCAAACAAATGAAAACAAGCGTAGATTGTGTGAAATTCATTGTTATAAAATTGGCTGCGATTTGACTTCCAACTTTGTGAGTAACTCTACGACCAAGCTAGGTGTAAATAGTGCAAATGGTGGCTTTTCATGGTATTTCCGTGTTTAATTCTTGCATTTGGAAAGAAATAATTAAATGTATGTGATGTGATATGTGAGTATTGTCGACTTAAGTCAATTTACTGAACATCAAGTAAAATTTAGTCCACCTGTTACTTGCGACAGGTAGTTTTTCTTGCTACATGTCTATGGCGGGATTTAAGGGCCAAAACTAAATGTATGTTGAAAGTGTTATTATACATCATAGAAAATACCTAATACCTAAGATGCAAAATACATATGTCGTTATACTTATAATGATAAATACATAATACCGTTAAAGTAAAAGTCATATGTCAAATTACAAATGTTTTTTGGAAAAAATCCACTAATGTGCACAACCTTTTCACATTCACACTTTAACAAAGCAACTTTGCAAAATGACATTTGTCTTTTGTGTTTTGCATCTTGAGTTCTTGAGGTAAACGGTCAACGGTCAAAGGACATCGGGTTACATGTCAAATTGTTAAAATGAATGCTCCCAAGAAGGAAAGATAAGCTTGTCGTAGTCATCTGCTAAAAGCAGCTTAGTGACATTCTGACACTATTTTGTATGGATTTTGACTTTACGGCTTTACTTGTTATTATCAATTAATGGAATCTTGCGTCAATTTAAATGTACGGAAACTGTATATTATATTTGGAAAGATTAAATATATATTAAATGCTTATTATGTACGACAACTTTTTGAAATAAAATTTAAATTTTACTTTGATTTTGTATCTGTTCTTTGTTGTAAATTTTTTATTAAGGAGCTCATTTCATGAAAACAAAACGATTAGTCCATTTAATGAAGTGTTCTTTAATTAAGAAAGTAATTTCAATGATTAATTTTAAAATGGTTCATTCAACAATGTTTTAAAGTTTTTACTGGCCTGCCAGCAATCAAAAATTTAATATAACAAGAGATGGAAAACGTTTCATATCCCACCCCATATACTTGCCTATGCCTACTACAGTGAATAATAAGAACAGATCTGATTCTGATTTAATATTTAATTTCATTTATTTATTTACTCAAGTGCAGTTTACGAAAGTTATCCGAAATATGAAACACCAGTACCTTACTATAACTCCCCCAGGAAACTGTAATTTACTGACTTTACACAGGCCCATGGCAATGGTATTTAAACAAAAAATATGACAGCAAAAAAAATAAGTGAAATGAGATGGGATTTAACGTCCTAATTTTCTGCTCCTAATGAAGACCGCCATACGGCATACAGTGTGCTATGGGGGGACTGTGGCCTACTCTTATATCGAATTCCAACTACTAGGGGATCTTTTACGTACACGCCAATGTATACACGGGTCCTCAGGTTTTCGTACCATCCAAACAACTAAACAGTTGTCCTTGACAGGCCCCCTGTTCTAAAAAAATAAGATACCGCATGAATATGCCTATACAATTATACATTCTGATAGTCAGCACGCGTGACCCTGATTTAATTTAAACTTGTGTTAGCCCAAGTCACATTCGGTATTTATCAAAAAGTACATTAACATTAAATTAAATTTATTCTAAATATTATGTTCAATCTAGATGTAGGCCTATTTTGTGTGAAGTTTATAATTAATATGACTATATAGGCTACGTGCATTAACATTGGCTAATCTACAATTAAAACCGAATTGAAATATATATGGGTATATAATGTCCCAGAAACTTCGTTTGTAAGAATGATTAACAGTAATTTTAATAATGGGTGTCACCTTGTTTAGATTACACAGACTTGCACTGTATAGTTAGTGTATCTAATATCAACATCATGACTGACAAGTCTCCAGATACTAAAAGAAGGTCCAGCCTTTACCCGTTCTTTCCTTCTTGGGAGCATTCATTTTAACAATTTGACATGTAACCTGATGTCTATGACCGTTGACCGTTTACCTCAAGATCTCAAGATACAAAAGACAAATGTCATTTTGCAAAGTTGCTTTGTTGAAGTGTATATGTGAAAAGGTTGTGCACATTAGTGGATTTTTTCCAAAAAACATTTGTAATTTGACATTTGACTTTTACTTTAACGGTATTATGTATTTATCATTATAAGTATAACGACATATGTATTTTGCATCTTAGGTATTAGGTATTTTCTATGATGTATAATAACACTTTTGTATACAGAACTTCATAAAAACCAAACAAATTCTAATGGTTTTCTGATAATTACTGCATGAGTTGTTGCTTTTAATCAGATTTTAGTGTATTATAAATGTTTCATTACCGAAAAAAGTAAAAATATGCGACAACTCTTGTTGACTGGCCGGACGATATAGCTGCTGTGGGCGTATGTTTCGTTGCCTGGCAACCTATCTTTTAATGTTTTGGGCTGATGTTATTTCTCTATGACCTACTCTTATATGAAATTGCAACTGCCAAGGGATCTTTTACGTGCATGCCAATGTGTACAAAGAACCTTGTTTTTTTGTCCCATCAAAACGACTAGACAGCTGTCCTTGTCAGGCCCTCTGTCCTGCACTACTGACAAGGGAAACCATGCCGAAAAATCACAATGAACTTTCTCGGCCAACATCGGGAGCAAACCCGCGACATCCATGCTAGCAAGCCAGTGTCTTACTGAATTAACCACTTATGGAGAAGAAAAATGTTGGTCAACTGTGATTTAATGGAGGAACATTTTCTATATTTTAGGCGGAGGTGGCCAAAAAAGAAAGAGAAGAACAAGATAAAGCATTTAAAAGAGAAAAAAAATTATTAATGGCTTCAGCAAAGGTATGAAATATTAAAAAATTGGCAAATTAATTTCCTATAATTTGTATATGAAGGCATAAAATAAATTTCTAGTGACCGCTCTGCAGATGACATTTTTCATCTGATTGTTTTGAAATTGATACATGTTGTTTACATTAGTGAGATGAAGAAACCTATTTAATTTCAATAATGATCAATTTCTGCTCGGTGATAAGAAATTTAATTGCTTGATGGTATTCCAAAAAGATTGAGATGGAGGACATCAGTCTCACTGTTGATTTATTATAGCAGGGACTATCAAAATGGGTTCGTCCATGTCCATCCGTCCGTCCGTCTGTCCGTCCTTCTCTCCGTCATACTTTTTGGGACACAATAACTCTCTTTCTAATTGAGCTAGAATGTGTAGGTGTTTATTAGGTCAATGCCTTGATGGAGTTCGAAGATGTGCATTTTCTGCTTAGGGTAAACAGAGATAAGCAATTTGATTGATTGATGCTTTGGGACACGATAACTTTAGTTCTAATTAAACATACATTATGCAAGAGCTAAATCTGATTATTGCAAGTCTTTATTTAGGCTTCAGATGTCATAGAAATTATAAATTAGATCTTTATTTACACAACAAGCACAAAATCAACTCTGTAGACCCACAGATGGCTTAGATTTAGCTTGGATTTAAACGGGATTTCGTTGACTGATTTAATTTTAAATGGCGTCATGAGCGAGGATTAACCGTTACGTTGACGTCATACTCCCGGATCGAGGCTAAATGATAGAGTGTACGAAGCGAGGCCGCTGTTGAGCGATGCCTTAACAAATGACATCTAAACTATTTAAAGTGCAATAAACTAAACACAGATAATGACAAATTATGCAATTCCTTTAGACCGTGTGATGACTAATACAGACGGACAGGTCTTCTGTCTTAATAATATCAATAAAAATATTTTTATTTCCCCAATAGACACGACGCCACTGGTGTATACCTATAGTATAGATTTATTATAATTGTATTATAATATTATGTCCTATATTCAATTGATTTAATGCATGCCCAAAATACAAGTAAGAATGAAAATTTACCCTCACTCATTTTGTCCAATTGTTATAAAAATCCAAAAAGGTAAAACACAATTCGGATATGATGACAGCAGACAAAAAGACAGCAGAGATTATGTAGGTGGAGTTAACGCCTGTCAATCAAACGATCGGCCATACTAAGAATCGGTGAAGATGGAATTCAATCCCATTTCTAGTCAAAAATTACACTGGTGATAACTATGTTCAGAATAAAGTAATTTAACTGAAATTTTCAATATATTCTTCTTTCATCATCTATTTTTGAACTGTTATAGCAAGAATGGCTAACTCCTTATAAAAATCTCCAATAATGTATCTTTAAGTTTGATAATGATGAAGAAACCTATTTGATTGCAATAATTTCTGTTGATTTCTTCTGGAATTATTGCCCTGGTTTCCCTTTGTTGAATGTTGTGCACGCTCTGATGACAAAAGTTATCCGATCTGTATGAAATTTCTATATAGTATATATATCATTTAAATTAGTGAAATGAAAAAGCCAATTGATTTTCAGCAATTTCCATTAATTACATCTAGAGTTATGACCCTTGTTTCACTTTGTTGAACCTTGTGAATGCTCTACACTACTTACAAAGATTTAGCTGCTGTGGCTGTATGTTTTGTTTCCTGGCAACCTATCTTTTAATTCTATTTGAAATCTTTTCAGGAGAAGAATTATTTTGCTAGTAATGATGATGAACGTGTGAAGAATATATTAGATGTAGATAAATTAGCACGACTACTATCATTAGTAAGGTAAAATTAAAATCAAATTTTTATAATGACCAGGTTTATCATACTCTGACTGGGCTAATGAAGACAGGAAAATTTAAGAGAAAGAAAGTCGGTACATTATTTAGGTAAGAGAAAGATGGTACATGAATAGGGAATAGATTTTACACCTGAGGGGTTATGCTTTGAAATGATACATATGGATGAGGGCTTCTCGTATATACTTTTTATATGCCCACATTAAAAACAGTCATGAGACGAAGAAGTCTATTGATTTTCAATGATTTCCGATTATTACTGCCAGAGTTATGGCCCTTGATCATTTTGAAATATCTAGTGGACACCCTAGAGGCTAAAGTTGATATTCGATTGATTTTTAAGTTTTTATACGCCCACATTAAAATGTGGATGCTCTAGAGGCTAAAGTTAATATCCGATTGACCTTAAATTTATACACAGTGTTTAAGGTCATGAGACGAAGAAGCCTATTGATTTTCAACGATTTCTGATAATTACTGCCAGAGTTATGCCCTTTGATCACTTCAAAAAATCTTGTGGATGCTCTAGAGGCTAAAGTTAATATCTGATTGACTTTAAATTTATACACAGTGTTTAAGGTCATGAGACGAAGAAGTCTATTGAGTTTCAATGATTTCTGATAATTACTGCCAAAGTTATGGCCCTTGATCACTTTGTGATGATCACTTTGAAAAATCTTGTGGATGCTCTAGAGGCTAAAGTTAATATCCGATTGACCTTAAATTTATACACAGTGTTTAAGGCCATGAGACGAAGAAGCCTATTGATTTTCAGCGATTTCGGATAATTACTGCCAGAGTTATGGCCCTTGATCACTTAGAAAAATCTTGTGATGCTCTAGAGGCTAAAGTTATCATCAGATTGACTTCAGATTGATACACAGAGTTTAAGATCTTGAGACGAACAAGTATATTGATTTTCAATGAATTTTTATGACTTGAACAGCTAAATCCATGATATTAAAAGTTTTGTATACAGAACTTCATAAAAACCAAACAAATTCTAATGGTTTTCTGATAATTACTTTATGAGTTGTTGCTTTTAATCAGATTTTAGTGTATTATAAATGTTTCATTACCGAAAAAAGTAAAAATATGCGACAACTCTTGTTGACTGGCCGGACGATTTAGCTGCTGTGGGCGTATGTTTTGTTGTCTGGCAACCTATCTTTACAGTGTTTAAGGTAATGAGAAGAACCCTCTTGATTTTCAACAATTTCCGATAATTACTGCCAGAGTTTTGGCCTTTGATCACTTTGGAAAATGAAATATCTTGTGGACGCTATGGAGGCAAAAGTTAATATCTGATTGACTTTAAATTTATACACAGTTTTTAAGGTCATGAGACGAAGAATCCTGTAGATTTTAGACGATTTACGATAATTACTGCCAGAGTTATGGCTCTTGACATCTTTGAAAAATCACATGGATGCTCTAGAGGCTAAAGTTAATATAAATTAAGGTCATGAGACAAGCAATCGAAATAAATTCTAATGATTTGTGATGCTTACTTAATGGGTTATTACCTGTAATCAGATTTTCATGTGTTGTAAGTCTTTTCATTACTGACAAAAGAAAAAATATGTGTCAACTCCAGCTACAATATAAAATTTGGATTATAAAACCAGAATATATGTGGACGTATATTGTCACCACCCCTGTTCGTCCGTCTGACACTAAACGGGTCACAATTTTTATCCGATTTTGACGAAACTTGTAATAGAGGGTTATATTCGAAAGGTCTTGGTTCCTTTCGATATTGGCATTTATCAGACCTTAATTTCATGGATTATGGCCTCTGATTGTACGGAAAATCATGTTGTTAGCTTGTGGACACTCTAGAGGTCACAATTTGAATCTGATATTAAAAACTGTTTAAATATACTCAGCCAAATTAAAAACTTGACACTCGGGATTTTTTGGGACTAGATTTTTAATATTTGGTTTAAGGCAACTATTTTAGTGTTATGTTGTGCACAGACGACCTTGACATCAACAGAAAACAAGAATACGTCTCGCCGAAAGTCCTTGACATTGATAACGTTCGTGATGTCACAGTACCCCCCAAAATGAAATTCACAGACTTGAAGAACAATCGGAATAAAGTGTTTAGTAATGGCTGTGGCCTCTTCTAGCGTCTCGTACTACCACACAACGTCTTCTCATGGATCACAGAACATTAGTAAACACTACCCGAGGAAGACGTCGCCACTGCTCAGCAAGAGCATGTTGAAGGTCCTGCAACGTCTGTGGTGGATTCACTTGCTGACGAACACGTCGACCCAGTTCGTCCCAGATGTGTTCAATAGGATTAAGGTCGGGGCTAAGCAACGGCCAATCCATGACTTGGACACCGGCATTTCTTAAAAAATTCTGAGTAGCAATTGCTGTATGGGGTCGGATTGTCTTGTTGAAACGTTAGTCCAGGCCTATGTCTCTGCATAAACGGAAGAAGAACAGGTTGCAAAATCTGATCCCTGTACTGGACAGCATTTAAGTTCTCTTGGACAACAACAAGAGGAGAACGTCCATGTGCACAAAAAGAACCCCAAACCATGACGCTGCCGCCACCAAATCGGTCAACTTCTCTGACGCATACTTGAGCGTAACGTTCACTTCGTCTGCGGTACACTCGGATCATGCAATCTGCAAATCTCAAAGTGAATCGAGATTCGTCAATAAAGACAACTGAATTCCACTGTCTTTGAGTAAATCTTATGAAGAGGTGTCAATATTGGTCCATTATAGGGCCTCCGAGCTCGAAGCCCAGCAGCCTGCAAGCGATTTCAAACAGTTTGTGCAGTTACCCTTCCACCAAACATCTCTCTACTAGTGGAGGTTGCAGTGACAAATTTGTTTCTAAGATGATGTAATCGTATTGCTTGATCTTCCTGGAGTGACGTCACACGTGGCGCTCTTCCGCCCTTGGGCGGTTGGCAATAGTTCCAGTTTGAAGCACTCTCATTCTAAGATTAATTATTGTCTGGCGTGAACAATTAAAGGCTCTTGCAACAGTGACCACAGACTGACCAGCATAGAGCCTACCTATAGCACGTAGACGTTCTACATTTGAAAAGCGCGGCATTTTCTAACAAAGATGAAAATAACAATTTTAATTTGTTTTTCCAGTTCAAGTTACGTGTGCGTGTTCAGTTTAAGCAAACTTGCATCGATTGACCTCACGAGTTTGTGTTTGCACGTGTTTTTCAGGTTTTTCATCTTTATATGATCCACGTGACTTTACAATTTTATGAAATTAAAGCCTTCTTACTACTTACTATCGTTAGAAACACTTTAAAATTTATTTGACTTACCAGAAAAAAAAATTTGTTGAAATTCATCAGTGTCAAGTTTTTAATTTGGCTGAGTATATATCACTGTTACACCATAATGACGGTTGAGTTTGAATTTCGTAAAAATTAGAACGAAACTGTCCGACAAAATGGCTGCTCCTTGTACACATATAGTGTAAAAGTATGTAATACCACAGTTGTGGATCCTCTATATTGCGGTATATTAGATTCATGTAATTTCTAACTTAAGACAATGTATAATCCAACTTCTTTATTTGTTTAGTGTAAATTTTAATTCTATTTCATCTTATTTCTATTTGGGGGGTTGGATGGCCGAAGGGTTAGCACGCGTGCACTGTATCATACGGTCTGTCATTGAGTCACCTGGCGGGGTTTCGATTCCTCGGTTGTACGTGACAAGGGTTTGGTCGCCAGGCCAACCTCGTTGGTTTTTCTCCGGGTCCTCCGGTTTCCTCCCACTGCTAAAGCCCCACTCGCGCAAGCGAATTATTGAAATAAAAAATTAAACCATATGTTAGTCCCGAAATGACCTAGTTTGTGTCGAGTGGACGTTAAACCCCATTTCTCTCTCTCTCTCTCTTTATTTCTATTATTAAGGCGAAAAATGTCTACTTCATTGTCGTTTTACATGTTAAGAATGAAGGTCAAACAAATTTAGAATTTTGACATCGTTTGGTGGCGATTGAGCACCTGATCGGGTCCATTCTGTTGATACAAAGGATTTGCTCTTCGTCATTTTGAATGGTTTGGCAGAGTGTTAAAATTAAAAACAACAGAGAGAGAGAGTTTAACGTCCACTCAACACAAACTAGGTCATTTCGGTATTAACATGGTTCAATTTTATTTCAATAATTCGCATGCGCTTGGGGTGTTTAGCAGTCGGAGGAAACCGAAGGACACGGAGAAAAACCACGAGGTTGGACAGGCAACCCTACTCCTTGTCATGTACAACCGGGGAATCGAAACCACATCAGTTGACTCAATGACAGACCTTATGATACAGCGCGCATGTGCTAACCATTGAATGTGATATATATAATAATATATGGTTTGCAAATACTATTTCAAATACGGTGGCTAAGTGGGTAAGACGCTGGCTCGCTAGCCTGGAGGTCGGATGTTCGATCCTTGCATTGGCCGAGAAAGTTCATCCAGATTTTCCGGCGTGGTTCCCCCTTGTCAGTTATGCAGGACAGAGGGCCTGACAAGTACAGCGGTCTAGTCGTTCGGATCGTACGAAAAACCGAGGTCCTGTGTACACATTGACGTGCACGTAAAAGATCCCTTGATAGTTGGAATTTGATATAAGAGTAGGCATAGTGCCGCTGTCCAGGCAAAATTTCCCTCATAGCACACTGTATGGCGTATGCCTGTCTTCATTAGCCCAGTTTGGAGTAGGACGTTCATCCAGATATTCCTGCGTGATTCCCCCTTGTCAGTGATGCAGGACAGAGGATCTGACAAGGATAGCTGTCAATTCTATTTATACATGTAAAAGCATGCACGAGCTTATTTGCACGTATTGGAAAACTATTCGGTTGCTTTATTTGAGAAGATACTGATATTAAACTATAAGATTTGTCAAATTCTTTGTTCATCTAATTAATGTGATTTATATTTGATATCTGTGATTGATATCCGACTATCATAAAAAAAAAAAATGGCCTATTAA